AATACCAGAAAAACAAACCCTAAACAAGGAGCAAAACCACCAATAATGTACCAAACTGTGATGGAGTCAGTGCAGTCACTGCTGTATTCCTGTGAGTGTGGAGTCACAGCTTGCTTATTTTTAAGGGTGGGTTGTCAAGATACAACCTAGTAGATGGCACAGGTGAAAAACACAGATTAACAAAATTTATGAATTTTAACTTGGGCAATATGAAGAGTATCCACTAGCCAAGTGTTATAAAACATGAGGTTATGCTTTGCTGCTCTACTTAGCAATAGTTCCTACTGAGCTGTGCCTCTCAGCTTTGCACATGTATCACTATTAAGTACACCTGATAAAAATCTTGCTACTGCAAGAAACCCAAGCTGTGTATTTACAAGTCTCTGTGCAAATGGGCCAAATGCCTACTGAGACAGAAGGCTGCATTAGGACGTAGCATAGAGGCATTTGCATGTTTGAGATCCACAAAATGCTGTGAAAAGCATCCCATGTCCATCTCCAGTGCCCTGTTTTGGCATCTCAGGAAGCCAAATGGAACAGAATGTTGAAGTCCAGATTCTGCAGGCGACTCCACAGCCCACCTTCAAGCTTTAACAATGGGGAATCTGTAGCTTCCTTGGCCACTCCATTAAGGCTGTCCATGTAAGGTTAAACACAAACAAATGTTCACATGATTGTGGTCTTATTTACTGGATTAGAAATAAACACTTATTAAGTAATGAAGCCCGGATCTTAAAAATATGTATTTGATTTTTCTTCTATATAGTGAGGAAAAAGTTGAGAGAAGGAGAAGCTATAAATCCTTAGTGTACACTCAAGAAAACCCATCATTATAAACCCAGTGTTTCATGAGCCATGAGGGAAAATAGGAGAAAATGCAATATTAATTTAAAACAGCAATACTTCATATTGACTACAAACCAAACTAACAGCAATGTTCATCCATAATTTAATAACAAAGTTGGAATTTTTTTCACAGCACTAGATTAGCATAACTGAACAGATTTATGTACATTGCCAAGAGCCAACACAAAAATATTTGGAAGATATTCTGTGAAAATAAATAAAACAATTCGGATGTTTCCCCGCGAACCTTTAGTAATAGCTACAAATATTTGTGTTAACATGATATTTATTTGGTAGTTTTTCTACTAGTTATCAAGTATCATCTCAGCTCGCAGGACAGTGCTGGAAGGAAGGGCGAAAAATTAAACCAACTCACCGATGGGTTGCTGTTTGAGACAAGGATCCAGCTCTGCCCAGGTGTGCTCTTCTCCAGAGCAATCCTCCTTCAATGCAGGTCCAGGCTGCTTTTCTACAGCGGCATCAAAGGCAGTAGCCATGAGTTAGATAATCCCTTCCCTACTGCTGGAGTCATACCAGAGAAGTCTGTTTCCTCATCCATGCCACCAATGGCATGATCTGCTCTGCAGTTTGTAGGAATTTGGACTCAGTTGAACAAAGGTGCTCAAAAGATGAAATACCACTCATTTCCATAGGATTCAGAGGCCCCTAAATGACCTTCTGAAATCAGGTCTCTGTCATCTTTTCCCCTCTCATGAGTCCCATCAAACCCCATGCTCAAATCTTATTTTAGAAGTTGTTGAAATGTGTAAAATTGTCACCTGTAATGGGATTTCCAGCTTCAGAAAAAAAAACCCAAACCACACCTTCAGCATTCCTTTCCTGTTCATACGTCCTCTCCACATGTTAGCTGTCAGGCCTATAGTGTCACACCAGTCCTCCCTCCCACCTTTCAGGAAGCAAATACCAGTGGCTTTCACAACAGATACACCTCCAGAAAACACACCATAAGCATCCAGAAACAAAATGATAAGTCAGTAGGAGTATTTGACAACAAACAGGCAGCACTTCCAGACCAGGCAGCAAGAACATTCTGGACTTTGGCAACACTTAGATAGCCTTTTAAAGCCAGTAAAGTATTATTTAGCTGCACTTAAAATTGTGAGCCTTTCTAAAATACTTCTGTCAACTGCAACTGCTTGGATGCACCTCTGTTAATTCCGAAACAGCATTTTGCACTGACATAAGTCTGTGGCTTCATCTGCATTTCAAGTTGTTCACATTCCCATTTCATTATCTGCTCCTCAGCCATCCGGGTTTCTGGCGAACAGGGGGAATCTGAAGCTCTGACTGCAGACACCAGCTAACTGCAGGCATTTACCAGATCGTAAATGAACCGAAATTCTTGCTGTGTACCATTGGGGCGCAGCTTCCTAAGCAAAAAAAAGGATGCAACTAGGTGTGGATAGCAGGGGAGCTAAGCCAGCTATACCCCTTTCATCGTGCGGTGCAGGCCCACGTTACAGACACTGGTGTAACTACGCTGCCATGGGCCTGCTGCCGCAGTTTCCATGTTCGCAGCGTGGCGGGGCCCAGCCCTTCTGCAGCAACACGTCTGCAGTGCCCGGGGTTCGCCAAAGGAGAGGAGGCTGCCTGCTCTGCCCTGCTACAAGGCTCATTGTTGCCCCCAGGAGACACAAAGCCACACATAAACTCACTGATGACTGTGGGTAAACACACTTCATTACTTTGACACCGCTGAAAAAGAACCTACAAAAAGGAGTGAGTTTCCCTCAGCTCCAATCCAGCCAGTAATTCCCATAAACCAGCTAAACTCTTGTGCTGGGACTGCTCCTTTTCCTGGTAAAACAAAAATAATATCTTTAAATATACGGAAGTACTATTTTCAAATATTAATTAATGCTGTGAAACACACTGACTCATCAAAGATGCAAGGGTCAAGAGGGAGAAATCTAAGACACATGGCTCTGTCCAGTTGGGAAAGGGAGTGCTCCTGACTTCTGCTGGTTCAGGCTGAACCGGGACTGACAGCACACGGGACCATGTGAGGTCAGATCCTCAGTACCTTCAGCTTTGCTTTCCTTCTCCCAAATTTTTGTAAAAGATGGAAGTGCAGAAAAGGAACCTGCTCCATCGTTCAGGCAGTCAGCCAGATGACAGTCTTCACAGGGGAAAACCTTGATCTCATTACCCATACCTATGAGCATCTTTTAGGATCAGCAAAAGTGGCAAAGCCAGTGAGAAAATACAGCATGTCAGCCACAGCTGCCAGCTTCTGGCTGTTTCTAACTTGCTTCTGACAATCAAGGTGGTCCTCGGCTTATAGAACTAAAACCTAAGGCTTTCAAAACTCATTTTTGGTAGAAAAACAGAAAACCAAACCCATCAACATTATGTATGAGAAGTACAGTGAGTACAAAGAAAATGAACAGCAACTGAAGTGGTCCTGGACCAGCCCTGTGGGTCTCAACCATCTGAAACCTTTGCCTGTGTCTGACACTAGTGTTTACTAAATTCTTATGCCCTGGCACCAATAAGAGACTTCAGCGCAAGCAGACTGCACAGCCACTAGGATTTTTAATGATCAATAAATTATCTGCTGCTTTGGAAAAGCCAGTTATCGTATTTAATTTGACAGCCCCATGCAGGGTGAATTCCATAGACACAAAACAAATGTCAGGCCTCGAGACTAACACACATTTCTCCAGATGCAAAATAGACACTCACCAGTTGCTCTCTTAGGAGGATGGAAAAAGCTAATCCCTCTAAATTATGTAAACCAAACAGAGAGTGAAGGCTTGAAGCCTCAGCATTCACTTTTAACAAGTAAAGCATAAACCACACTACCGCTTTCACATCTGCCTTTTAATATATATTTTTTTTTTTGTCTTTGAATGATATGCAGTACTATTTTAAGATCTGCAACCGAGTGCTTGTAGCTGGCACAGCTTGGAGGGAACTGTAGGTGCTCATTTCTCCTCAGGACTGTCACCCAGGACCCCTAAACGCTTATCGTGCTCTTGCAGAGAGACTTGGAACATGGTAGATCTTTTCCAATACAACTTTTATTTAATTTTGCATCAAGAAAGCCAGTGAGGGGAGAGCTTTTTCTTTTCCTTGCCTTGTATCTCATTCAGATCTGGGCTGGAACAGAAACAGAGGAGGGACATCCACTGAACTCTAAGTGCTTTCCAGCTCTGGTTCACATCTGTTACTAATGTATCTTTACATTACTGGGTAGTTTAATAAACAAGGAAGTAAAGATTTGTCCAGTGAATTTGGTCCTATCATTTCAGAACTTGATCCCCAGCTCTGACACTAGCCTCTTGGAGGGACTGACGCAATTACACGGTTCATTTTCCCCATTTGCAAATTGAAATAACAATGCTTTCCTTTGCCATAAGCCGTGTTGGGATGTAGGGAGGAAGAGCGCTGCGTAAGGAGTTGGTGCTACTGGAAAGTGGCCTGAGGATGCAGCAACCGTGCTGTCGCTTCGCTTGTCAGCACGGGGAGAGACGATCTGGCTCTGTGCAGAGTTACTGCACAGGGTGGTACCGGTGAGCAGCGCTAGGCGGGTAAGAGGGAAGGGAAAAAAGCACTTGAGATGTTAAATTAAACTGCGGAGCAGGCGTGGCCGGGCCCGCTCGCACGCCCTTATCCAAAATTTACACACGGGAACAGCAGCCGCCGTCCCACATAACTGCAGGCTGCGCTCCCGTCAAACGCTCCGAATTACAGGTCCGCGCCGGGCACCGCGTTCCCCTCGCATGAACCGAGGGCGAGGGGCCGGCGCCCCCCCCGCCCCGGCCCCCCCCGCCAACCCCGGGCCGCCCCCCCCGCGCAGCGCCCCGCGCCCTCCGCGCTGCGCCCGGCGGCCGGCAGGGGGCGCCGCGGCGCCGCAACGGCGGCGGGGGGCGCTGCGGGAGCGGCCGCCGGGCGGGCGGGGGCCGGGCGGCCTCTCCGCATTGTGCGGCCGCGCCGCTGCCGCCGGCGGGAGCGCCCGCGGGGCCGCCCCTCCCTCCCGCCCGCCCTCCGCTCCCCGCGGAGCTCCCCGGGCACCCGCCGAGCGCGGAGCCCTCCGCGCTGCTGGTCGCCGCGCAAGGGAGGTGAGCGCCGGGCGGCCGCGGAGCTGCTCCGCGGGTGCGGGGAGAAGGGAGGAGCGGGAAGGTAGCGGGGAGGAGCGTGAGCGGGGAGGTGCGGAGCGCGGTGCCCGCTGCGCGGGGGGCCGCGGAGCGGCGGTGTCCGCGGCACCTGCCGGGACGCGGCTGGGGAGCGGAGCCCGCCCGAAGCGGCGGGGATGAATCGCTGTCCGCGTAGGAACGCGGCGGATACCTGGCAGCGCGGGCGCGGAGCCCCGCGGCGCCGGGGTAGGTACCGGCTGGCGACCGGGAGCTTTCGTGGGGGGGAAAGCGCGGTGTCCCCCTCCCAGCCACCCGCCACGGCGGAGAACGGCGGGCGCGCTTCGCCTTTCCGCCTGTTCGGGCAAAGGGAGCGTGGTCTGGTGTTTACTCTTGAGCAGAATGAATCAAGAACATGAAGCGGGACCCTTCTCTAAGGTGTCTTTACGATTTCCTTTTACAAGCTTTTTTTTTTTTTTTTTTTTCTTTTTTCTTTTTTTTTTTTTTTTTTTTTTACTAGGGAGAAGCCTCGGGCTTTTATTTCAAGAAACACGTTTGAAATGCGTTTTGCTATAAAGCGGGTAATATTGAGAACTTCCTATGTCACTGTTAGAATTTATGGCTAAAGTGGGCTAAAGTTCTACCCTGTTTTAAATGGAGACTGAATTTTTGATGTTTTAGTCAGGGCTGAGGATCATTGTCATCGTCACAGTTGCCATTTTTTTCACCCGGGATCTTAAAGCATTCTACAATGACAGGTACTGTTATTATTTTTACTGTCCAGGTTAGAGAAATCAAGGAGATGAAGTGCCAAGTGACTTGCTCAAGGTCACAGTTTTGCTGCATGTATATAGATAATTCCCATGTGGCCTGTTAAAAGTGCAGTACCACAAATTCTGGCATCCTTTTTCTAACCTCATGCTTTGCCAAATGTTTCTGTATGAGCTGAGGCAGCTTAAACAAGGAGCACTACAGAACTTTTGGGCATGGATTTGTTTAGCAGAACGTGCAGGGTACAGGCAGGGGGGGCGTTTTTAGGCAACTGCTGCTGAGTAACTGAAACCTTTCTGGAACCGGAGGGCTTGAGGAAAGATCAGCTGTCTGCAGGCTCTATTAGTGAGTGCTCATGGCTTCTAAATACATTCTACAAAAACTAATTCATTGGCGTCGAGACAAATACAGTAAATAGAAGCAATTGCAGCTGAAAGAGAAAGAATAAGGAACCTTGTGAAGCAGGTACTTTGGGTTGTTAAGTACCTTTTGCAATAGCATGAAACAAACGGCGAGAGCTAGAAAGCTGAAGGTGGGCTTTGCACAAACAGTGCCAAACGTGCCAGTGGTGTTACTGTAACGTTTAAAGTGGGAACGTAGCATCAATTATAATGACTTTTTAAAAAAGAAGAAAAGGTGATGGGGGGGGGCTTTGAGGGAGAGCCTGGCTCCTTGCAGCTCCATCCTAGTGGTGTTCTTCCCCAGGCTCTGCATTGACGTCAGAATGACACGGTGAAGCCAAAGACAGGAGCTGGGAACAGTTCTTCTGCTTCACTTTTGACAATCGAGTGAATCTGTCGCCACTCCGTTCCTTCCAGCATGGCTAAGAGCGCAGAAGTGAAGCTGGCGATCTTTGGTCGAGCTGGTGTGGGCAAGTCAGGTATGTTTGTTGTCTGATTTTTTTTCTTCTGCTTGTCATCAGGTAACTTTTTGCTCCCTCTGTGCAGACAAACTCTTTGTACAAAAGGACAGCTGTGACATTATTCTTGTGAGGAAGGTCAGGATCAGGCTAGGAGTCCTCTCTTCCTTGCTTTGCACACTATTTTTTCCAGGTTCTCCAGAATAAAAGTACTTTTATCACCTTTTTTTTAAAAAAAAAACAACCAACCAAACAAACAAACTAAAACCAATAAAACAAACTTCCCACCCCAACTCAATCCCAATTCCCATGAAGTGAGTGGCAAGATTCCTCTTTTCCATTGGAACAGAATTAGTAATATTTAATTTCTCTCTTTGTAGCTTGTGCTAGATGAAGGTATTTATAGTATGCTTCTTATTCCCTAAGATCAGATCCTCTGTTAAATATTGGATGACTTCTCTAATAGCTGTAATTCTGTTTGATTTCAGTGGGAAATTTTAGACTCAGCAACTCAAAGAATTTTTATTCTCAGTGCTCTCTTGGATTTACGTATTTACCAGGAAACCAAAAAATTATGATGTGTAAAGTTTGCATTTGGAGAGATCTTTTGAGAAATAAACACAGTCTGGTGAGTTCATATGGTAGAAACACAAGGGGGAGGCATTAAATGTTAAAAATTTTTGTCCATTCCTGCAGACAGCCTTGCCTTTGGTGAGACAGTGTAACACGAAGGTTGCAAGCTCTCTCAGGTAGTTGGGTGGTGGTGCCTTAACTTGACAGCTCCAGAACCACTCTAACCTGTCCTTGCACCACAGGGATGACGAAATAAGGAAACTGAGTAATCATCTCCTGTGCCACTTTGGGAATTGTAAGATACTATTTATTTTAGAGAAATCTGCACAAGAGGAGCCAGGAGGTAGGACATACTGGTAAGGGCTTTAGGCTAGACTCAGCTGCTCTTAACCAGCCCCAGTTCCCTGAAGTAACTTTTGTATTAGAAGTGCCAAGGTTCTGGCCTGTAAACATGTTATAGTTTCGTTAACTTCAGAAATGGTTGTTTATAAAAGCACATTTACCCAGAGCTATTCTACTAGAACACTATCAGTGAAGTAGCTCTGTCAGCCTTCAGGAAAAAAGGCGTATGTGAGGCAGAGGTTGTTAGGGATTATAATGCTTATACAAAGACCATGCAGATTAAATTCTACCTTTTAAAATAAAATACCTGAGGGAATGCTGATAATATGCTGGGATAAGTTTAAACTGTTCCTTCTCCCCTGCTGCGCTCACCCCACTCCTCTTTTGTATTTGTATTTCACTGTCCAAGTTTTGCAAGTCACTTCAGTGGTTTTCAGCTTCTGGTTTGTCTTACATTTGGTTGACAGTTTCTGTCATTGTCCCGTCTTTTGGCTGGATTCAAAATAATGCAAGAGGATGTTGAAGTATTTGTAGGAAAAATGAAACGCTAAAAGACTCCCCTTGCTCTGATATTCCTAATCATTTGTGAGCTTATATTTAAAAAATACAAAACTACCACTTAAATGCTCTGTCAAAATGCCTCACCAGCATAGGATCAACAAGAGCCTTTTTTACCTGTTGCATCCTTGGATTTTATGGTAAAAATGTTTTCCTGTAGTCCTGGAACTGGTTGGGAGGTCATTTTTAATGAAAAGCCAATAAAAACATCCTAGTCCTGCAGAGTCCTTCTCCTCTCACTTTTCTTTTTTTGCCTTTGAGAAGCAAGGAAATGTTACATAAAATATGACTAAGGTCCCCTCTTTTTGACTGACCACGCATATGAATCTGTGTGGAAATGAAGCCGCAAATAAGTGGGCAGCGCAGTAAGGTGAATTTAAGGGGGTGGAAAGACTACAGAGACTACAGTGCTATTAGCTACGTTGACAGAGCAGCAACTGTGCCTCTCAGAATCTCCAGCTTGCTTATGAAAACCCCTCTTGTATGTTCCCATAAAAGGATCCAGTTTCAACAGCTTGGCCAACTCCAGAGAAATAAGGGGGTGTGTGTGGTGGGGGGGAGGTGTCTGAAAATACCTATTTGCCTGTAGCCAACAGTAGCAATAGTGGGAGCTGTGGAACTGCTGTTACACCTTTGCTAAAAGCTGAGCTGAACACAAAGTAGTCTCCAGATAGCTGGATTTTGTGGATAAGTACCCTGCTAGATTAGTGTTGATAGCATTTTTTTTTTTTTTTTTTTAGTGTAGCCATGTAATTCCCTATCCCTGTGACCAGTTTGTAATAACGTTGTTAAGGCAGGATCCTGTGGCCATAGGTTACTAGAGCAGGCTTGGCCAGACAGCTGAAAGATAAGCCAGACTCTAGAAGCAAGAATGCAAGGCAGAATGCTGGAGCACGTTGGATACGTGCAATGAAAAGGAGACGTTGGGTGATAAATAAGGCCACTGTAATTGCCAGGAAGTCATGCCAAAATATGGTCACTGGCTTGCTTTCTTGGCTCATCTTCAGTTGCTGAGGAAGAGCCAGGCATTAGGTTCTTAGCCTGTAAGTGGCTTCACCACCTGACAGCATCTGTGAAGTTACAGACACATACTGTAAAATCTGGGAGAGGCTCCTCTTCCAGTTCCTGACCGGGACTTTGGATCAGTGAGTCAAAGCATCTATGAGGAAAGAAGTGTTGTGCTTCAGGACACGTGGAGAATTAAAGCTGTCCCTCACGCACCATGGAAGTCAATAGAAGTGTTGCCATTACTGAGATCTGAGGAACATCCTAATCTCCTCGTTAATGCTAGACATCTGTTTAATGGGGTTCAAGATTCTTTGTTGTTCTACTAAGTAGTCCCTTCGGACTAATACAAGACTCTCCCAGACATGAGGTGGGAAACCAGAACATTGTTCACAAATCAGAATAGTGATAGCATCTTATAAAAGAGTTAAAGCCAGGGAAAACAAAACTTTTCTCCACTTTCTTGCTGCTAATCAATCTTCCATTGTTTAAGGGTTTAGAAAACAAATGGGGGGGAATAGCAAGTCTGACTGTCAGCCTTTTACTGTTCTCCTTCCTTGCCTTGTCTCCTCCCGTCTGCTGGAGAAGGGCAGCAGAATTGCTCAACTCACCTGTCCTGGTTTTTACCTAATGTAGACCTAAACTTTTCAAATAGAAAAGGAGGAGCAAGACAACTCAGAAAGGGACATGCAAGAATGCTCTACTAGGGCACTTAGTTAAGAATTACACTGAGTAGTAAATCACTGGTCAGCTCATCAGTTACGAGTATCCCAACCTGCTCTTGTACAGCAGACTGGATGCTCCTCCATTCACCCAGTTCTTACTGTATAAAAGTTGCATAAACATTGCTTTAAACTAGCTGAAATAAAACAGATGAAGAGCTCTGCCTGAGCCAAGGAGCACTTTGCTGCTGCTTCGCTTGGGAAGAAGAGGAGACTCTCTGTGGGTGGGAAGGGACATTGCTAAGCCCTGCTATAGATGTCAGGGCTGCACCTCCTAATTTGGGCTAGAGTCAAGTAGCACTGACGGGGAGAGAGAGCTTTTAAAGTCCTTTTCTTTATGTCCAAGAGGAGCTTGGAGGGAGTGGAGAATCAAAGTTGAAGTGAATTACTTAAACACTGATGTTTAAATTGTTCTTCTGCTGAATCCTACAGCTTCATTCCTATGGTAACAAAAGTTAGAATTTCCTAAATAGCTCCTTTTAAAAATACAGTAGTAACAATTAATAAAGACTTCAAGACCTTGTTCTTCCATGTCATCACAAGGTACAGTACGTGCCCAGAAAGCTAAAGAGGAGTGAAAACATATGAACCACGAGGAGAAGAGAAGGGCATGTACTGGATAGCACTGCATGGCTGATGCTTTTCCAACTCGTAATTCAGTTGACTATGAATGCTCAAAATACCTCTGCTTAGGAGCCTCTATATTTTGTCCCCAAAAGAGAGAATGTCCAGCTGCAGCATGTGCTATCCAACTTGCCTTTTTGCTGTGCATGTGCCAGGCTGAATACTCCAGGTTTCTGCGTTAGCGTGTATGGTGCACCCAGCCACCAGCAGATGCAGTTCTTGTCTGCCTGGATGGGCCATGCAGCTGCAGCCGTGGTATGCAACATGAAAGTGTGGGTGGTTTCTGCTGGTGCTTAAGCAACAGGGAAGATACTGAGGCTCCCACAGGCTCCCCCCAGTAGATATGTGCCTGCTTCTAGGCAGCTATGCAAATAATTTTCTTAGGCAATCAGTTACGTGAGACATGTAGCTGTTGTCACTTTTTGATCCAGCAATAGCTCAGCATTTAGCCAAGAGTGTGATCGATAAAGCGGCATCAGTAAATATCATCCTGCAAAGAGCCTGTCCCATCTCTGAAATGAAGATCATGCCAACTTCCGTCACTTTAGTTTCACGTTTGTGAAAGTCCTAAGTAGATGTAGATTTGTATCTCTTGGCTTACACCGTTTTCTGCGTCTAACCCAGGATAGGGGAACATACTTGGAAGAAAGATATCTGGACTTGAAAGTTCCTACAGAACAATTTCAAGCAACAGCCAAGCCAGAGAGGCCTACAACAAGTCTGTGTTTTGTTTTCATTATTTGGGGATAAAACTGAAAAACACTACCAGGGATCACTTCCCAGTTGCAAGGTTGGGGCATGTGGAGAATAGAACTGAATTCAGTGCCACCCCACCCACCCCTTCCCTTCAAAAACAATATATAGGTTATTGGGAAAGAAGCCCATTTCAAAGTGATCTTCTACTTCACAAATCCCTGCTCATATGTTTTCCCCCACTAGTTTCATTTCAGGGACTTCTGGGGAGGAAACATGAGTTATTAAGAAGTGATTAGTCATCAAGCTCACAGCTCTGCTAGTAAGACAGGGAAAGCTACTACAAAAGCTTCAAAGTTCATGCTATACCAACTGATGTATCTAGGGAGGCTTACTGTAATAAGGTGCCCCTGAAATTCAGAAATGTGGGTGGAAGGAGAATGGATTTTCTGTTGTTTGTTTTGGATTTTATTTTTGTTGTTGGTGGTGTCTCGTTTCTTTGTT